ATGGCAATGTGTTTTGTTTTTTTTTTTCTTTCTTAGTATCAGACAATGTTCCTTTGCTATTCAGAAGTTTTCACTGGCCAATTTTTTCAGAAGCAGATTGGCAGGTCCTTCTTCCTAGTCCATATTATTCTGGAAGCTCTGATGAAACCTGTCCACCAAGGGTGACCCTGCTGGTATTTAAAATACCGTTGGCAAAGCTTTCAGTATCACAGCAACACGCAAGCCACCACAGGAGAACAAACTGACAGACACCTGGTGGAGTATCTATTCTAGGGAGACCAAAATGGCGCCCTGTCCATGATGGAAGCAGTCAAACGTAATCAACTGCCATCGGGTAGCTGGCGGAGCCCCCTGGGCAACACTGGGTGGTCAGTGTTGGTCTCTGCTGTTTCCAGAAAGGGCACTTAGCAGATGGACGCTGGTGAGTGGAAATACATGTGCTGTAACAATGCACAACCTCCATGCCTGCTGCCATGGTCACTTTGTTCATGAGCCCATTGAGAAATAACGGAAGTGGCTGTAGAAGGAGGCTAGTTGATGTCGACAGAATGGGTCATCTTGTCTACCTATCATTGATGTTCTCTTCTGCTGAGCTGGTTAGTTCTTTGGCTAGTGTGATGGTTAATGTTATGTGTCACCTTGGCGAGGCTATGATTCTTTGTGGTTTGGCAGACACGTGAAATCATCTTCCATTTTGTGAACTGATGTGAGCAGCCAATCAGTTGAAAGGGGAGTTTCCTTGGGGGTGTGGTCTGCCTCCAGTATATAAATGGATGTTTTGGCAAAGCTTGCTTTCTCTCTCAGCCCTACAATCTTTTCATCTTCCAACCTCCAGTTCTTGGGGTGTGTCTTAGTCATCTACTGCTGCTCTAACAGAAATACCACGAGTGGACAGCTTTAACAAAGACAAGTTTATTCTCTCACAGTCCGGTAGGCTACAAGTCCAAATTCAGGCATCAGCTCCAGGGGAAGGCTCTCTCTCTCTGTACGCTCTGGAGGAATGTACTTGGGATGCATCAGTCTTTCCTTGGTCTGGGAGCATCTCAGCGCAGGAACCTCAGGTCCAAAGGACACGCTCTGCTCCCAGCACTGCTTTCTTGGTGATGTGAGGTTCCCATGTGTCTCTGTTCATTCCTCTTTTTTATATCTCAAAAGAGAATGGATTAAGACACTATCCAGTCTTGCAGACCTCATCAGTATAACCTCATCATAGTGATAGAGTTTACAACACATAAGGAGATCACCAGATTACACAATCATACAATACTGGGAATCATGACCTACACATTTTCGGGGGGACATAATTCAATCCATAACAGGGTGTAAGACAGCAGAGGCCTCCAGCCTGTCATCTGACCTGCAAATTTTGCATTTGCCAGCCCCTGCAAACCTGTGAGCCAACAGAGGCCTCCAGCCTGACCTGCAGGTTTGGGGTTCGTCAGCCCCTGCAACCACGTGAGCCAGCAGAGGTCTTCTGCCTGTCGTCTGAACCACGGATATGGGACTTGCCAGGCCCTACTATTGCATGAGCCATTTACTTGTAGTGCTGGTCAGGGATTTTGTAGGATGTCCCTCTATTGGGATGTGTGTGACATTTTTCTCACGATTAGGCTGGTGTTATGGGTCTTTGGGAGAAAGAGTCCCATCCTCATCACATCACATCAAGGGTACATACTATCAGCTTTGTTATCACTGTTGATGTTGACCTTGATCACCTGGCTGAAGATGTGTTTGCTAGGTCCCTCCAGTGTACAGTTACCACCCACCCTTCCATACTGTGCTGTTTGGAAGGAAGTCACTAGGTGCAGTCCACACTGAAGGAGTGGGGAGTAATGCTCTCTCCCCTTGGTGGTGAAGCACCTACGTAAATTATTTGAAATTCTACACAAGAGGCTTGTCTTTTCTCTCTCAATCCTTTATTTATCTAGTCATTTACTTATATCAGAATGGACTCATTTACTTATAACAGTACGGACTCATGCTTATTGATTTCATAATTTGAGTTGTAACCCAGTACTACTTTACTTCTTTTGTTGCTCAGATTGTTCCAGCTTTGGCCAGTGAGAGCTCTTTCAGTTGACTTTTGTGACAAAACTGTTTTTAATAAATCAATTAATAATAAGGAAGGGATGGAGGGAGGAAAAAGGAGACCCCTGACTGGTAAATAACGTATTACACCCAACATCTTCCTTGGAAATAAGGACAGATGACAGCCATATCAGCCAGGGTTCTCCAGGGAAACAGAACCAACAAGATTTTATATATATATATATATATAAACCCATTGCCGTTGAGTCGATTCCGACTCATATCCACCCTGTAAGACAGAGTAGAACTGCCCTATACGGTTTCCAAGGCTGTAATCTTATGGAAGCAGACTGCCACAACTTTCTCCTTCAGAGCTACTGGTAGGTTCTAACCACTAACCTTTCGGTTAGCAGCCAAGTGCTTAACCACTGCACCACCAGGAACATGTATATATATTCCTCACTTATCAACATGGTTAGTTTCCAAAGACCATGTTGTTAGGCAAAAATTGGCGTTTGGTGATGAAAATGGAGGACGACCACATCGGATCACAAAATGGAGGATGACTACATCATTGCATAACTGCCAGATTGCATCATTGCATAATTGCCAAATCACATCATTACATAACTGCCAAACCATTAAGAATCATGGTCCAGCCAAGCTGACACATAACCCGAACCATCGCAGCCAGCGTTACTCTCACCTCGCCCCTGCGCATTCGTTACCGCCAAAGTACATCGTTTATACACAAAATAGTCAGATAACAGACTTTTTCCTATTGTAGTAAATGCACAATGTTAGATAACGAGCCAGCCGCTAAGTGAGGAGTAGGTATATGTATACACATACACATATGTATGAGAGAGATTTATTGCAAAGAATTGGCCCATGTGATTGTGGGGACTGGCAAGTCTAGAACCCACAGGCCAGGAGGAGGGCTGCAAACCCTGGCAGGAAGTCTATGTTCCGTTTTGAGGAGAATCTTTCTCCCTGGGAGAACTCTTCAGGCCTTCACCTGATTGGACGAGGCCCACCCACATTGTGGCAGGTGATCTCTCTTACTTAAGGCCAAAGGATCGTAAACACCTTCACGGCAACACCTAGACTAGTGTTTGACCAAACGGTGCCCAGCCGCACACACACAGAAAATGAACCACCACAGCAGCCGAGTCCAGGTGGAGGGGGCCTGACTCCCAGGACAGGGTCTGTGTGTCGGGGGGGCATCTATCCCCTGGCCCAGCACCTCGGTGGGGGAGGTGCTGCTTTAGGCCCCCCCCCTTGCTCTTGAGCACCAGTGCTGTCTTCCAGAGGGACAGCGCCAGCACCCAGGCTGCCTGGGGGAGGCAGAGAGCCGGCCGAGCAGCACCTGTGCCCCAAGATGCCGCTTCCTTTTGCCAGCTGGAAGGTGCAGCTTGGTGAAGGGGGCAGGGGGTTCACCCTGGCAAATGAGGACAGCACACAACAAATGCCAGGCCCCTGCTGCGGCCGGGACATACAGTGGCATGGTCAGAGGCCTGGTCTTGGAGGGACCAGCCCCTGTCAGTCTGCATGGCCAGTCCTGGGAGGCCTGCACCCCAGTCTGTGAATGGTTCCGGCTGTATCCTCTTAGCGCTCCTGAGAAGACAGTGTGGTCACCGGCGCAGCCCGCCTGGCGCACAAGAGTGCTCAGCAGGCAGGTAGACCTCAAACTTGGCCCTCTCAGAAAGCCCAGGAAGTGTCACCGAGGGGCCTGGGGAGCTGGGAAGGGCAGCATCTGTGCCCCCGGCGTGCGCTGCAGGGCAGGCGCTGGGCAAGGCCTTTCCTCACTCCAGTCGGAGAAGGATGACTTCAGGTGAGGCGAACTCAACCCCTAGCCACGTGACTGTCATCTTGGGGAGCAGCTAAGCTGCCGGGCATAGCCAGAGCCTGCCGAGCCCCAGACCCAGCCTGTCCGTTACACCTGCCCTCCCAGCCTGGGCTCCGCTCCCCGTGGCTTGCTTGGGGGCTCCATCAGGGCAAAGCTGCAGGCACAGGGCCCCCTGCAGACCCAGGCCAGGGATTCGGGGACCCAGGGCCAGTGCTGCACTGGGGGCACAGGGAGGGGGACAAACGAGGAGTCCTCGGCTGTCCCGCACTCGAGTGGGGCCAACATGGAGGAGGTGGCCTCTGCAGATGCTTCCAGCCTCCTGTCACTGGCCGTCTTTCCAGTAGCAACACTGGCAGCTAGCCGGAGCTGCGGCCAGCCACAGAACACCATTCTGCCTGTGTCTAGAAGGCTGGGGGTTACCACACTCCGCAGCCATCTGAGGCCTCCTTCCCAACTGTCCAGGAAGACCCCACATAGAGGTACATGGGGCAGATGGGGCGCCGAGTGGCCCTGCATAGGCACCCACCCTCCCCAGCTCCACCCACCACCTCGGGGACCAGGGCGGTCGCCCCAGCGGTTCCAACTGGCCCCTGAGCCAGGCCAGACCCCAGCCCCATGGGTCAAGTCCTCTGCAGACCCCCCTTGCCCTGGAGCCTGTGCCCACAGACCGCCCCAGGGGGTGACTTGTTTAATCACAGAGGCTTGTTCTAACAAAACCTCCCTGGAGGCTGGTGGCCCCGAGACAGGCCTCCGATTACCCATCGTTCCCGCCGCGAAGACATCGGGAATCTGACCACTTCTCATAAACGCGGCCGTCCCCGCGTTTCAGATGGTGCTTCGAAGACCTCCAAGGATCGCCTCCCGGGCAGGATTCCCTGCAGGGCCCAGTCTCTGCTTGCATACTCCCTTGACAGGGAGCTCACCCCTCCCCAGGTGCCCCTCCTCCCGTGCTGTCCTCTGCAGCCACACCAAGACCACGGCCAGCCCTCCCCCAGAGAGACCTCCCGGACCAGCAGTGCCCAGGGGCCTGGGCCTGGCTGCCCCTCCCTTCCTGCCTGCCCTCCTTCCGGGGCACCCTGTGGCTGAGTCCTTCTGGGTAGGCAGCTGCGGTCTGAGGCCCCCGCCCAGCTGGAAACCACAGTGGCAGAGAGGAGAGAAGGGGAGAGGGGAGGGGAGGCTAGGACAGGAGAGCACACCGACATGGGGCCTTGGAGCCGAGTCAGGATCGCCAAATGCCAGATGCTGCTCACCGGCTTCTTTGTCTTGGTAACAGGCGGGTCGCGGGGAGGGTGGTGGCCACTGAGGCAAGGATGTGGCTAGAGGGGAGTGCAGAGCCATGTTACCAGGGCTCACTCACACAGACACACACATACACTCACACAATTGCACACACACTCTCTCTCTCACACACACACACACACACACACACACACACACACACACACACACCAGCCCTACTGTGGACACATGCCTGGGCTCCCCGGCGCCTGGGCTCCCCGGCTCCTGGGCTCCTGGGCTCCTGGGCTCCTGGGCTCGTGGCCTCCTGGGCTCCCCAGCGGCAGGCTCCTGGCTTCCTGGGCTCCCTGGTGGTGGGCTCCCGGCTTCCTGGGCTCCGGGGCTCTTATGCCTCCCCTACCCTGGAAGGTGTGCTCACGGGGACTGGAAGGAGCCCCAGTGTGGGGTTCAGGGGCCCTGAAAAGTAGGGAGGGGGCCAGGGGCTGGGTGGGGCCTACTCTCCTCTCTGCAGACTGGGTGACTGCAGTGGGTGTGTGTGTGTGTGTGTGTGTGTGTGTGTGGTGTCTGTGCATGAGTGTGTGTGTGAGTGTGTGTGGTGTCTGTGTGTGTGAGTGTGTGGTGACTGTGTGAGTGTGTGGTGTCTGTGTGTGTGTGTGTGAGTGTGTGGTGTGTGTGAGTGTGTGGTGTGTGTGAGTGTGTGAGTGTGCGGTGACTGTGTGAGTGTGTGGTGTCTGTGTGGTGTCTGAGTGTGTGTGTATGTGGTGTCTGTGTGTGGGGGGTGTCTGTGTGTGTGTGTGTGTGTGTGTGTGAGTGTGTGGTGGGGCATCTGGGGCAAAGGTCACTCTGCAGACCACCCAACAGAAACACCTGGGACCCCCTCAGCTGAGCCTGTCTCAGGAAAGACCGTGAAACTGTAAGAAGACCGGCATGGGGAGACCCTGGACCCTGCCCTCTGGGGCCTCAGTGTCCCCGTCTCTACAGGGACTGTACCCTGCCCTGCCCCCACGCCCTCTGAGTTTGCCCCACTCCCTCCACCCCAGCTGCTGGGCCTGTCTGTGGCCACCATGGCTGTTCATACCTACTTCGGGGCCCACTTTACTGCCGTCAGCCGTGCGTCCTTGGAGAGGAACCCCTACAAGGCCATGCACCACTGGGGTAAGCAAGATCCAGGGGCTGGTGGTTGGCAGGCGGGAGGGGGCTCTGGGGCAAAGCCACCTGGGGAGGGGCCTTCGTAAGGCGCTCTGACTGGTCCTGACATGGAGATAGACTGTTCCCTCTGAGCCAAAGCCATACCTGGCCCCCCCAGCAGGCCTCTGATGGAAGAGACAGACACTTCTAGGAGCACCCTTCACCCCCAACAGTACACCCCACACAAACTGTCCCACCTTCTATTGGCCCCCCTCCCCCTAACCTGGCAGGGGCAGGGAAGCCCTGGCCAGGAGTGAGGTCATGGCTACTCCCCTGATCCTAGACAGTCATCCCCTCTCCAACATGCTTACCCTCCTAGGCAGGCAGCAGGGAATGCGTCAAGGGTAGGGCAGGGCCCTTCTGGGGTCCCAGCTCCATAGGGAAGAAGGCTTGGGGGGCTGGGGATGGCCAAGCCCACCCTCAGGTTATGCCCTGCCTCCTCAGGAGGCCAGGGCTTGGGGACAGAGCGGGTGTGTCAGGTCAAAGCAGCAACCAGGATAGCCTGACTCGCAGAGGCCTATGGCGTTGGCTGGCTGATCAAGATGTCCCTGGGAGTGAAATGCACGGAAAGTCTACTAGATTCTTACTTGATCCGTATAAGTGGAAGAGTTGTAGGTCAAGTGAGCAGGAGTCTAACCTGAGTCACCAAAACAGAAAGTCGTGGTCCCTCAATCAGCTCGCACACTTGAGCCGGTTTGCAGACCCACAGCCCCTTGAATGAAAGAGGCCCCGTCCCCTTGAGGAAGGACCCCGCTACACTGCCAAACGTTCACACTGTTAATCTTTCTCCCAGCTTCTCCTCAAAGACCTGTGTCTTTCTACCAGGGTGACTGTGCTGGGAAACAGGAAATAATCAGACTTCCTGGGGAAGACTGGACTCCGGTTCTGAACTGACACTATTTTCAGGAGACCCCAGATCCATCGGTCAGAGTAGGGGCAGATGGAGGTCAGGAGACCAATGGGGTCTTAGCTTAGGTCTGTCTCAGTGGGTTCAGTGGGTCCCTGCCCTCATCCTGTGGTAATCTTCCCAGTTCCGGAATACATAGTTGGAATAGACATACCCACAACTAGCAGAACCCCTACGTTGACTCCTTCTGCAGTGGCAGGACCCCACATCTGCAGAGTGAGGACTCAGTCCAAGGCAAGGGCCGCCTGTGGTCCACCTACCAACAGAGGCAAGACACAGCTTGGGGCTGGGATCTGGTGGATCTATGGAAAGGGACTCCGAGTACCATTGATGTCACACACTCAACAGAAATGTCTGAGCACCTCCGACTGCTCAGGCAGGACCAACCCTCCAGGGATATTGCAGTAAAATCTGGAATGTATCAGATGGAGGAGCCAGCAGAGTAAGGGGCAGGCCTGCTGGTGGGGTTGCTCCCTTACAGAGATCCACGCCTAGGAAGGACTCTTCCATAATGGGGTGTTGGAGCTGGACCCACGGGCTTCCGGGGAAGGAGCAGTTACATGAAAAGGAATGTTCTAGACACAGGGAGCAGCAAGTGCCTGGACGTTGGTGGGTCAGGACGAGATCATTGTTTCTGGAGTGGAGGGAGAGAGGGAGAGACAGCCGAGAAGAGGGGAGCAGCCTAAGTCGAGGGGTCATGTGGGGTTCTGAGCAGAGCATGTGACATAGGCTGATATTTGGGGGATTCCTCTGGCCGACTGCTGTGCCAAGCCCAAACCCAGGTTCCCAGCCATCCTGCACAGTAGAATCCTCAGACTCCCTGGGGCTGGGGCCAGGCAGAAGTCTTCCACACTTCTGGGTGATCCTCACATCCGGCCAGGGTACAGAAACAGGAGGCTGCAGAGCAGGGGCTCAGGGGGCTCCCCGGATCACTGGTGCAGAGACCAGCATCTGGGGGATACAGAGGCCCACAGGATCAGGGCCTGCAGGCTTAGGCCCAGGCTCCTGCCCCCTCAGGCCCCGTTTCCTCACCCTAGTCCCAGGGGTCATCGGCCTCCCTAGAGCAGGAAACCCTGAGGCTGATGAGATTACAACCCCCACATGGGCCCCTGTCACTAGGGCATGGGGTGGGGGTGGGGGTGGAAATGTGGCTTCAAAGATAGCGGGGTGGGAGTGGGAAGAGAAGGAGCCCGGCCTCCCAGGCTGGTGTGGACCTGCCTCCCTCGGCCTCCCCCACCCCCCATTCTGTTCTTCTTTGTATTCGGGGGTCAGAGGCTGCTGGGGAGTGGGAGGCACATCCCTGTCTGGTGGGGAGCCACGTCCTGTTCAGAGCCTCCCCAGAATTCCAGGACACCCCCCCAGGCTCCAGTCCGATTTTGGCCCCAGGCTCCGAGCCTGGGCACCCCCCCGAGTCTCCTCTCTCTTCCTGCAGCCTTCTCTGTGGGGGTCAGCCTGGCAGGGCTCCTGACCCTGGGGGCCGTGCTCTGTGCCGCAGCCACCGTGAGGGAGGCCGCAGGCCTCATGGCTGGGGTGAGTCCCCCGCGCTCCCCAGATGCCCCGGGGCCCCAGGAGCTGGGGGGCTGTGAGGGCCCAAGGAGCCTGTCCCCTGTGTCCAGACGGAAACGGGCCCTCTCCACCCAGCTCCCACCCACCCCATCATCCAAAGGGACCCACGGAGGGTGGAGAAGCCCACGCAGCTCGAGAGCGTCTCCCAATGGCCCTGGAGGGTCTGGCTCCCCTCTGTGCTACCCGGGGCGGGGGGGGGGCCTCTGGGCGCGGGGTTCTGGTAAATTCCACTTCCCACTGAAGGCAGGCAAGCCCCAGGGCTCACCCAGTTCGCAGGTCAGCTGGTGCAGCGGCCCGGGGCGCCCTCCGTCCAGCTCTCCTGAACTCCACACCTTCCTTCTCAGCTGCTGGAGGGGGTCTCCCTTACCCTGAGGTCCCACAGGCTCCTCAACCCATACCTGTGGTCTCCCTGGGTCTCCCCAAACCTGCTTCTTCACGCAGGTCCCCGTCTTAGAAAACAGCAGAGCTCCCCCCACCCGCCGCACCTGGCCACCCAGCCAGACCCTCAGGCCATCCCAGACTCCTGCCTTCCACCTACAGCCCCACCTTGCCAAGACCCATCTGTGCTGCCCCTGCTCAGCCCAGGCCCCTCCCCTCTGTCCTGAGCTGGGGCCTTGGCTCTCCCTGGCCCTACACCGCCGCCGTGGGCGTGCGTACCCTCCTGCCCCAATGCTTTCTGGGCTCCCCCGGCTCATCACCGCAGGCCGCACAGCCTTCCCTCCCCCAACCCCTTCCCCCCACAGCCCTCTGCTCCTGCAGACCCTTGCCCCTGCAAGCAGGACCCCTCCTCCCCCTCCCCTGCCCCAGGAGTGAGTCATGGGGCCAGAGACCCTCTGAGGCTTGTGCTGGGGGCTCTGAGGCCAGACCCCGCTGGGGCTCTCCAGGGCAGGGAGTTCTGGACACCCAGGGCCACCGGGATCAAGTGTTGGTTGAATGACTCATGGTTTGTAAACATCCCAAAGGGCAGGAACCTGGTCCCTCCTGGAGATGCCACCCTGTGCAGCCAGCCAGGTGGGCCCCGGGGAGCAGAGCAGAATCCGGCAGCTCTGGCCCTCACCAGGTTTCCATTCTGGGGGGCAGCGAACGTGGGCAGGAACACGCTGGCAAAAACCTATGGGGCCGACTGGGGTGGGTGGGGCAGGGGAGATGACAGGACAGATGGGCTGCCCCTGGAGGTGAGTGGCCTGCAGGGGACTCTGAGCCTAGACTGACAGAGGGACGCCTGGACAAGGAGAAGGGAATGGGCAAGCCAGGCCCCTCCCAGCAGGTCTCGAGGAGGCTGCCTGGACAGGCTCACGCTACCTCAGTGTCCAGCCACCAGGGGGCGCCTCAAACACAGGCGGCGGGACATGGCTGCTGTGGACGAAGGGCTCTGTTTCCAAATTCCAGGCCGTCCTTCAAGTGCCAGGCCTTGTCTTCTCGACAAGGTCTTTCCAAGCTCCCCTTGACCTCTGTGCCCAGTTTGCACCCTGATCTATGGGTGAGGGTTCAGGGGGCCCAACTCAGGGGCAGGGGGCTGTAAGAATGGCCTCGGGGTCCCACAGCCTAACAGCTGCACCAACCTGACCCCTGCGGCGAGGTGGGGCCTGAGGACATTCCAGTACTGCTGGCTGCGCTCCAGCACACCGCACTGGAACCCAGCCCCTGACCCCCAGCTTGAATGGTAGCCCAGTGTGACTACCGTGGGTGCCAGGCGGCCCTGCCAGGGAAGGGAGATATGCTCGGTCAAGCCACGTGTGTGCATACGTGTGCACGTGTGTGCATGTGTGTGCATGCATGTGTGTGCACGTGTGTGCATGCATGTGTGTGTCTTTGTCTATCTGCGCCTGTTGTCGGGCGAGTGTGGCTGTCTGGGTGCTATACCTGGTATGTGCGTGTCTGTGTGTGTGTCTGCGTACATGCATGTGAGCACATATGAAGGGGCGGGGGCGGGGGCGGGGGGGCAGGGGAAGGATCGCCTCTCACGTGACAAGCGCCTGGCTGCCCCCCCACGCCCCTTCCTGCCCCCACCCCTGGCCTCCCCCGAGCTGGCCTCTCGTACAGGAAATGAAAGAGCTAACAGCCATCACAGAGGAAACCGTCCACGTTATTTCTGTGCTTATTTATTAATTTGCATTGAGAAGGAGGGGACAGCGAGCAGCCAGCAGGTCCCGGCCCCACAGCAGCCCCTGCCCTGCAAAGCCTGGGCAGGGCGGGCAGGCCCATCCACTGCCCAGAATCCCCTCTGCAGAGCTGGGGGCGAGGGCGCAAGGAAGCGAGCGGGCTGGGAGGCAGCGGGTTGATGTTCTTTTTCCTGGGGAATAGGAAGGTTTCTGGAAAGGGCCGTCCCTGGAGCTGGCTTGGGGCCTCCAGCCTGGGAGGCAGCACTGAATGATGGCTTCCAGATGGGAAGGCAGCTCAGGGCCAGTGGGGGGTGGGGGAGGAAAAGGGAGAGAAGTGGGGCGGCGAGGAAGAGGGAGGAGGGAAAGGGAGGAGGAGGAGGGAGAAGAAGAGGCAGAGGTGGCAGCTCTGGGCGCCCGCACAGCTGAGGCCTTGCAGACTGGGGCTGCAGGAGGGCGGGGAGAAGGCTGGAGGGCTCCCGGCCGCCAGGCAGTTCTGGAGGCCAGGAGTCAGAGATCAGGGTGTCCGCACGATCCACGCCTCTCTCTCTGCTTTCGGGAAAGATCCTTCATGTCATTTTTTTCTTTTGTTGTTAATCGTTGTTAACTGTTGTTGAGTCAGCCCCCAACTAACGGCAACCCCACATTTTCTAGAGTAGAACTGCCCCATAGGGTTTTCTTGGCCGTAATCTTCACAGAAGTAGATTGCCAGGCCTTTCTTTCCAGGCACCGCTGGGTGGGTTAGCAGCTGATGGCAAACGGCTTGGCCACCCAGGCTCCTTCACTCCTGTGGCCCCAGGAGTTCCCAGGCCTTCCCAGCCTGCAGATGGCCCTCACGTGCTGACTCCTCCCGGGGGTGGCTGTTTCCCTGCCCCTTCTCCCCTTTTATACGACTCCACTCGGGAGGGATTAGGTCCCACCTACTCCACCATGTCTTAACTGACCACATCTCCAAAGAAAGACCCTATTTCTCCAAACAAGGTCACACTCAGGGGTTAGGGCTTCAGCATAGCTTTTGGGGGGACACAAATCAACCCATAACACCCAAGCACAGCCCCCGAGGCTGCAGCCCCAGCGGGTGGCCTGGGGTGACCTGGCGTCTGTCTGCCCCCAGGGTTTCCTGTGCTTCGCACTGGTGTTCTGCGCCCTGCTGCAGGTGGTCTTCTGGAGATTCTACAACCCCACCCAGGTGAGCACCCCACCTGCTCCCACCCCGCACAGGGGGTCCCATAGCCGCAGAGCAGGCAGGGGGTCTGGGAACTTGTCCATCCACCTGTTACCAGGGGACAGACGGGGTGAGGGCGCGGGGGTAGGTGAACTTATGGGGGCATGCACTGGCTGGGTATGGAGTGGGGTGGGGGACAGAGACCAGAGGGTGGGGGGGCCTGGTGCTCTCCTGGGCCGGGGGCTGCAGCTCCCTGGCGGCAGGGTCCTGGGCCAGTGCTGCTCAGTCCCTCTGCTGGGAATCCAGGTCTGCTTTCTGAGCTCCTTAGCCCACCCAGCTGTCCTGGGGACCGGCTAGCGGACAGGGTTTCCCAGCCTCATTCACAGGACAACAGCTGTCCCTGGTCCTGGCAGCCTGGACGCTGACCTGCTGGAGGGTTGGGGGGACTGACCCCCGTGACCCCATGGGGTGCATCCAGGGGCATTGGACATGTTTGTGTGGGCACTTTCCCAGGGATTTCCATGTTGGTGGTGACTGGGGTGAAGTGAGGGTGGGCTGGGTCCCCGCAGGAGGTGGGCCGTTTGTTGGTTCGTTCATTCATTCATTCATTTCTTCAGCTGTTTCCTGAGAGCTTGCCGTGCTTCGGCCCGGGCCTGGCACTGAGGATGCCCCCGTGACCGCAGGGGAGGCCGGACTCTGTCTGCTGGGACAGACGCTGGCCGGGTGGCCGTGCTCCGAGTGGTAGTGTCCCGACATCGTGGCCTGCGGTCTCGGAGGGAGGGGGCCACGGTCACAGAGGCCACTGTGCGTCTCAGGAGAGGGAAGGCGGGAGCACCACGGGGAGGTGGCCTAAATCCGGCAGGCCGTCTGACCCAGGCCCGGAGCCTTCTTGGGAAGCACAGCCAAGCGCTCTAGGAGCCGGGCTGCCAGTCAAGGCCAGCCTCTCCTGCTGCGCAGAGGAAATGGGTGCCCCGGGGCTGCGAGAGGCCACTGGGGCCTGGCGGGGTCATATGGGCCTGCCCTCAGCCCAGGCGGCTCTGTGCTCAGGGGAAGTGCTGGTCCAGATCTCCAGGGACTGGAGGCTGGGGAGAAGCGGGCACCCAGGAGGGGGAAGGGCTGGCCACAGCCAACGCCCTTGCTCTGCCCCTGTGCTCCCCAGGGGATCAGACTTCTCACCCAGCTGAGCCGTGAGCCCAGGAGTGGCAGGAGGCACAGCTGGGGTGCAGCCGTTCCCAGGGTTCCCAAGGGGAGCATCTCTGCGCCGGTTCTTCTTCCCCCGCCAACGACTCACTTCCGGCCACGGCGGGCATGTAAGCACCTCCTGTCCACTGCGCCTCACCGAGACCTTCGGCTGGGGGTGGGGGAAGGGTCAGGGCTCCTCCATCCCCTGCAGAACTCAGGCGTCCACCTGCACCTTTGAGGACACAGCCCAGACCCGGGCAAGACCCCGCCAGGCAACCCGGGAAGCCAAGGGGCCGCTGTGGGCCGCAGAGAGGTGGACGGGGGACCTCAATCTCCACAAGCCCCTGTCCAGAGGAGGAAGGCGTCCTGGATTCAGACCTGGACACAGCCCTGTGACCCTGAGTGATGCCTTCCCCTCTCTGGGCCTCAGTTTCCCCATGAGCACTGTAAGGACAGACAGCCCAGGGAACAAGGCCTATTTGACTTGAGTGACTCAGTGTCTGGGCAGAACCTCAGTGTCAACAGGCAGGTGAATAGCAGAGGGATGGGGGAGGATGTGCTGGGGGATTGGGGAGGACGTGCAGGGGGATTGGGGAGGATGTGCTGGGGGATTGGGGAGGATGTGCTGGGGGATGGGGGAGGATGTGCTGGGGGATTGGGGAGGATATGCAGGGGGATGGGGGAGGATGTGCTGGGGGATTGGGGAGGACGTGCAGGGGGATTGGGGAGGATGTGCTGGGGGATTGGGGAGGATGTGCAGGGGGATGGGGGAGGATGTGCTGGGGGATTGGGGAGGACGTGCAGGGGG